CAAGAGCAGAAATCTTTTTTGCGGTGATGGCGATGTCATCGTTGTGAAGGATCAAACAAGCGTAGGTACTAGCAATTTCTCCGAGCGACATTTTCTACTCAATTGAATTAGGGCTGGGCATTCGGTATTTCGGTTCGGTTTCGATTTTTTTTTCCGGTTTTTTCAGTTTTTATACAACGTGTACCGAATACCGAACCGAAATAATTCAGTTCGGTTCGGTTTTTGTTATGGGCCTGCTTAGTGGGCTTTTTAAAATTTTGTAATTTTTTGTTTATTTTATTTATATTTATTTCTTTTTACTTATTTTACTCTGTTTTTTAAATTATTGTATGATGAAAAGTACTAACTACGAAACTGCCGTTATCAATTATAATTGAAATTTGCCCTTGTTAATAAATTATAATTAAAATACTACTAAAAGTGTAAAAGCCAATAAATTATAAGTTTAAATTAAGTACTACTAAAAAAGCCTTGTGAGTAGTTCCAACTTCCAAGTTCCACGCTTGCTGTTATCATTGTTCTTTTTTTTCTTTCAAAAAGTTCCACACAATTACACAAATAGGCAAAGAGCTGTGATACAAATCTCTTTAACATTATTATAAAATACCATAATTTTACTCAATGAATGTAGGGCAACTCAATTAAACTATCAACCTTTAATTTCCTGAATACAAGGAAACATTTAAATCCATTTTTATCCCCCTCAAAAATCGAATCAAAATGAATGAATCCTCAGAATAATACGAAATGATGTGGCAGTTTTAGGCCAAAAAATTGAATTACTTGTTTGTTAAAGGACAAGAAAATGGCGGTCTACTTCTTTGGCTGCTGTTACTGAGTTCTTGTTGCTTATTTGTATAAAGATATATACAAATCAAAGCAGTTATTTTCTATCCCCATTTACACCATTTTCTCCTAAAATCTCTCACCCAGATTAGTTTCCTCTCATCCACATTATTTTTGAATTTTGAATTTTCGGTTCTTTTCTCTTCCCCTTTACACGATTTTCTCCTAAATTCTCTCACCCAGATTAGTTTCCTCTCACCAACATTATTTTAGAATTTTGAATTGTCGCCATTACTCTTCCGAATGTGCTACTAAAATTTCAGGTAACCGTCAAAAACATGTTGAAATCAACTTTATATTATTTTTTTTGTATTCTGTTTAATATTTTTAATTTTTTTCATGAATTTTCATATACATATACAGATTCAACTAATACAAATTTATTTATATATATATATATATATACATATTACACATATATACATATACAACTTTAAAACACAACAAAAAGAACATATACTTATACAAATTACAGCTAATACATTTCTTATTTGCATATAGATTTCACATATACACTTATACAAAGAACACGTACATATACAAATTGCAGCTATATGTACAATAACATCTAATATACAAATGTAATTATCATAATTAAAGACGAACATGACTGTATACATATACACATATAAAAGAAACTAAACGTTTTATATACAAATTATCCAATTGTATAAATCAAAATTGAACAATTTGTATATAAATTGGATTTATCTAGCGAATTATACAAATCTAAATCTCCATAGCAAATATTAAATTTGCTATGGAGCGCAATTATGCAAATTATAGTTATAATATATAAATATAATTTTTATTTTTGCTATATATGAAAATTAATCGTTTTTTTCATTTGATATCTATATTGAAGCTTGATTAAAACAAAATTTATGATGAAATTAAAATGCTCTCTAACTAAAGTAATTTTATATCTCAAAAAATTCAAATATAAAATATCTGATTAAGAATGAAACACTACTTAATGCTCCACCAAACCAATTCGTTTATATGTATGACATTATTTGAGTCCAATAAAACAGATGCTGGCCAGCCACACTATGGTAATATAGGAGTAGGAAGTAAAAACGATTATATTTAGTCCATTATTATCGGGTATCTCAACAACTCAACTACTGCTCTGACTCACTTGTGTGCTCTCATTAATTTTTGCTTCTCCCTCTATCACACAAACACACATTTTTATTTCATAAATCTCATCGACAATCATCACTTACTCATCGTCTGATCAAGGATACGACTTTTTTGGTATAATTTTTAATTGTACTAATTTTCTCTTTTAGAGTTAAACTATAAAAAAATTGACTAACATTTTATGATGTATTTTTTCATCATATTGATATGCAAGAAATTTCAATTTAGAGTAGTTTTGTATAGTTTTTGAATATTTAATTTTTTTTTGTTTAAAATATTGAATTAAGTAATTTAATTTAACTTTGAAAATTAGTCAAATTAACACTCAAAAAACACAACATGACAATTAAAAGTGGACGAAGAGAGTATATGCTATTTATATGTTCGAATTCGTCTAATTTATATTATATTTATATGCTCAAATTCATACTATTCACTTTTATTTTTAATGGAATAATATATATTCATACAAGTATATTAATGACTTGTTATTGTTATAAATAAGAAGTTTCAAAAGTTTGGCTATCTCTTTTAAATTATGTGTAAGTCAAATAAAATCACATAAATTGAAACTGAGAAAATACTTATTAACTAACATGTATTTAAGAAGAAAAAAAAGATTTTTTTTAAATTTGAACAATTTAAAGTGAAATTATTTTATATTATAAAAATATTTCATTCTTATTATTAGATAGACGAAAAAATGTGTCACAAAAATTGAGAAAAAAAATACTCATTTGTCCCGAAATACACTTTCTTTTACTATTAGTCCCAAGAAGTGACCCATATTTATATTTAATAACACTTTTAACTTTAAAATGTTCAATTTATTTTAAATTAAATGATTTATATAGCCACATCAACACTATAATTATTTTATATCATAAATTTCAAATTTTTTACTCCATCTATCTCAATTTATGTGACACTTTTCATTTTTGAGAGTAAAAGAGATTTTGTTTGACTAGAAATTTACGCGTGAAATCTTCAAATTTTTTGAAATTAAATTTATATATTTATAAACAACGTAAAAAAATACTCTAAATCTCAATAATTGACGAAAGATAAATAAAAAATAAACTTGTTTGAATTTCAAAATTTAAAAGCTATCACATCAATTAAAACGAAGAAAGTATTTCTAAATTTCATATTAAATCAAAAATAAAAAAAATGGACGGATGACTCTGTATCCGTGTTAGTAGAATGTTATTTTCCACAATATTCGAGGTTTTTTATTGTTTGTTGACCAAGCTGTAAAAAAGAGCTAAAAATATAGCAACTAGCTAGTCACATATGCGTTGTTGGATTCGATATTCTTATTTATATTCATTATTTTAAATTTCATGTCACTTACGAAATTATATAAGTTTATTATTGTATCGTTATTTAGTATTTTTTTAAAGTCAAATTTTCAATAAATAAACATAAATTAATTTATGTTGATTAATTAACTGATTGATGAACATGAATTAATTATTTAGTTTTTTTTTATGTTACTCGAATTCATGCTTTCAAGGTTAATATTACATCCGTCCACTTTTAATTGTCATAGTTTCCTTTTTTTAGAGTCAAGGATATTAACTTTGACTAATATTTTATGATATATTTTTTCATCATATTGATATGCAAAAAATTGAAATTTATAGTACTTTTTGTATTGTTTTTTAATATCTAATTTTTTAAATTTAAAATATCGAATTAATGTAATCTAATTTAACTTTGAAAATTAGTCAAATTGTCTTTCGAAAAAACGCAACATGACAATTAAAAGTAGATCGAAGGAGTAGCTCTCCAGGGTTATCATGAAGAATAGTATTATTTATACATTGATTTTCTGAAATGACAAATATTAAAAGCTAGAAAAATTCTTTTGGCCAGAAAATTTTGCATATTTCACACTATATTATTTTACCTTTTAAAACATTTTTACTCTTTTAACTTTAATATTTTTTAATTAAAAAATGAAAATCAGTTTATTTTAAAATAAAAAGGATATTTTAGACTTCTTAAATTTTTGGCTAAATTTTCTGGTCATTTAACATTATCTTAAAAACTATTTATTTTTAGTAAGAACAACATGTAAATGTGATTGATGAAGTATAATTTGGTAGAATTAGAGCAGCGCGCGTTTTAGATTAGCATAGGATTTTAGGGACGTGACAAAATCATTAATCATTTGTCTCACAATTAATTCCAAATCCGTAGCTGTTTGACAAGGTTGACCTATTCGTTTAATTTATTAGACACTGATTACGATTAAAGATACGTAGTCACTAATTACCTCAACGCTGGACTCTAATTCAACTACCTAAATCCCATTAACACTGCAATTCAATTAATTACCCCCTCCGTTACCATTTACCTGGTTACTAATTGAATAGTCAAAGAAAGAAAGATATTAAAAATATTTTAAAACTTGACATGAGTTATTAGTTTCAGTCCTCAACTATTCACAAACATAAAAATACAAATTTATATGACTAATGAAACTTTAATGCATCTCCGTTCATTCAATATGAGTGAAAACACGCTCATACTCTTACAAGAATTTGAAACTATTTGCTATGTTATGTGTTAGAGGAAAAGTACTATCTCTAGTCGGATAAATAAATATTTTTAAAACTGTCAATAATTTGAAGACGAAATTAATAATTTGTGTCTGAATATTTTCATTTTCTCTGGAAAGAAATATTTGAATAATTAGAATTATTATAAGCAATATTCTTCATTTGATTTAGAATTTAGAATATTGAGAATTGAGGAGTGTGCATGGGGTTCGTGGTCATTTCAGAAACCCCAACAGCTGGTAGAGTGAGACTGTGCCCCTTATTTTTTGTCCTATTAACCAGCCTCTTCTTCAACTCTTCTTTATTTTTTTCCCCAACAAATCATTCTCTTCATCATCACACACTCTAATCTCTATCCCTTTCTCTGTGTTTCCCCCATAAACTAAGCCGATACTTTTGGGGGAAAATAGCATCTAACGGGAGAGAGCTTTTGTATTGCGGGGAATGTTGTCTGGCTCGAGGAATCAAATTCTTTATTACTCATAGATCTGTATATTGTTTATAGATCTATAATGTTTTTGACGTCGTCGGACCAGGCTTCATTCCCCACAATGAATATTGCTCTCTCACAACACTAATTAATTAGATCCGTTTCAACATTTTTACTGGTAAGTCTCCTATAACTGTATTTGTTTTTGTTTCCGTTGATTTGTTTGTCCGTTTGTGAATCAATCCTTTTTTGTTTGTTCTATATACTATACTCTATTGTAGATTGGTGTAATGATGAATATCTTGACTTTTTAAGTTGTTACAAATCCCAAAAGTTTCATCATTACTGCCTTTTTTTGGGTCATGATCTGTGTTTCTTTGGTCAGTAACGTATGCCCTATTGTTTGTTATAGTAGTAGTATATAGTCATGGTGTGTTATGATTGTGGTCATCATAGCTTTTTGCCTCTCTCTTTCTGCAAACATTCAGATCTGGTTTCCTGCCTTTCTTCATAAACCTTTTTTTTTGCTGTGGGTCAATTTCTTCATAAATATATACAGTTAAAAACAATTGACTAGAAATACAGCTAATAATATTGAAGGTTAGGTAGATATTCCTATTTTTTTTTTACTTGTTACCTCTAATGGCCTGCTAGTTTAGAATTCTAATCTTCAATGTGAACACAGAAAAAGAGAAACACTGTTTGTTACAAGACAAAGAGAAAGCTTTTCTGTAAGACTTACGAAACACCAACACGGTGCTTGATTTGAAATATATTCTGCAGACAATTTCTCTAACTTGTTTCCCCTCTTCTCCTTCGTCATATTGGACACTCACATAATCTCCTTAGACTCTGATATCTCATGAATCTCAATAGCTAAATTGATTGACTACGTCAACTTTCACTTTGTTAGTAAGATTTTGATTCAAATAGGACTAGTAGTATTTGATCACAGTTTTTGCTTAAGAATTTGGTAGAATTCGATAGTTTTGACCTTTAATCATATGCATTTAAACATTTACTTAATATATATAAATAGTTTATCTAGAATATAGTAAGTTCTATTTCTAAATCTAATATTTACTAACTCAAAATCCTAATTCGTTTCTTCAAATTCTCAAACCTGGTGGGAGTCTATATTTGAGACTATCGGAGCAATGTACTGTTTGTTTGAACTTAAAAAGCTGTTTTTTTTTTAAAATTACTATATGAAAAGCTCAGCATCTATTCTCAGTTTACCTTTCAACTTCATTTGAGATTTTTGATTGAGATTTACAAAATAGATACTCAGGTAGTAAATTAGTTTCAAGTTTGTGATGGTAAATTGTGTGGACATGAAATTAGTGAAAGAAGTGGGAAACTATAGAGGTAGCAAGCTTTAATTGCATTATTGGCATTCATCTTCTTAGAGTAAATAATATAGGTTGTAAATGTAGATCTATGAATTCATTTATAGTGTTAAAAAATTACAATATGTATAAAAAGTGAGTGAAAGGGAATACTGTTTGTGGAGATGGAATCTTTTTGACTTTGCAAATCAATAAAGTGGAGGCTGTACGCATATTGCCTTTTTGCTTTTGCTTTCCTCTATTTCCACAAACAAACGTGTACACAAAAACTAGCAGACAAAAGTTTGCTTGATTTTTATGAATTCTCTCTTCCGAAAATAATATTTTTTTCGTTTTAATTTGATTCGACGACACAAGTCTGAAAAGGTTAAAGAATATACTTCATAAAACATCTAAATGATATAAGAACATGGAGTAGTTATCACTTTTCCGCTGTTTGTATTAAAAAAAGTACTAATATATTTCAATGTTAATACGGTTTTAATTTCATTAATACTTCTTAACCCTTCATGATCAATTAAACTTAGGCTGACCCATGCCTCTTGCTTGCTTCTTCAATTTCATTTAACACTTACAAATCCACTTTTAAAAAAGGCACGTTTTTATATTTTAAAAATAATTTAAATTTGACTTTTTTTTAATTTACACTTAATAGCATGCTTAACTTTACACTTTACAGTTACAGATTCAGTACTCTTTTAAATTCTGACGCTTCCCATGTAAGATTGTTGAGGTGAGTTCCGGCTATAAAACGATACTCTTTAGGCAAATTGACTTTCAAAAAGTAAAACGTAACTACTATTTTAAAAACAAGTAGAGAATAGAATGGAAGGGAACTTACAATGTTCTAACTTGGGCCAGATTTTGACTCATGCGCTTAAAGCCCAAAACATGTCACGGCACCCTACTTTCTGTTGGCCCAGCAATACTTGGTTCAGAAACAGAGGGCATAAATGAAGTTCAATTTAATTTGGGGACATCCGGGGAAATAAAGAAAAAACTTAAGTTAATCTAAATAGTCGCTTACTCAATAACTTAATTTAAAAATAACTGGTTATTTAATCTGTTATCAATAATTTATTTATATCTGTTAAAATAACAAGAAGCAAAAAGTTAAATAAAAAAGGCTTCATCAAGGATGTTTAAGAGAGAAGCGAATGAAATCTTTGTTTTAGGCCTCGAAAATATAAATTTCATGTTCAATTAAATTGAGACCAACACACCACCTATGGCTAGTGCCGGCTCTATGCTTTGATAATTAAGACATATGTCTTAGGCCCAATTTTAGGGGCCTCATTTTTTTACTAAGAATAAAGTATGTGTTATTTTTTATTATATAAAAATTGATTATTTATAACAAAAAGTATTTTATAAAAATAAAGAAATAAATTATATCATTTTATTCTCTTTAATCCCATTATGTTCTAAACTCTTATCTTTATTTAAAATTTGTCAACTTATTATTTATATTATACTAATAATTCATATAATGATTGCCTTAGTGAAATTAGTTTTTTCAATGTTGAATTGATAAAATCATATTTGAAACAAAAAATAATCGAATAGATTATTTATAAAAAAATATTAAGTAATAATTTGCATTTGAAAAGTGTAAAGAAGATAAATTTTAAATAAACACATATGAAGTTTGTTTAAATTTTAAGCCTTCCATTAAAATTTCGCTTTAAGCCTCAAATTACGTTGGACCGTCCCTGCCCATGGCTCTTGCTAACTTCTTCAATTTCATTTAATGTGAACACATCTTATTGATTCCCTAAATAAAGAAGACATGTTTCTATATTTAATTTTTTTAGGACTTGTGATTAAATTTTATTTCAGCAAAATATAAAAAATGTATATTCATGACTTGTAATAGTCTTAAATGCACATATGATATAATTTTCTCTTACTTCAAAATTATTTGAATAATATTGATGAAATTAAATTTCTTAAGAATTCATAGTAAAATTTGTGGGTTCGAAATTCCTTTTCTTAGATGCTTTAATTCTTATTTTTCTTATTTAGTGCTTTGGGCAGAATCTAATATCAATATACAAAAGTGGTCTCATTGCAAAAATTCAACTTTTCATTTTCAAACATTACTAATTGTAATGTGAACCTTACATAGGGATGGTAATTGGCGGGGCGGATGTGAGGTGGGGTGTATTTAAGGCTATACGGGATGGGATGGAGTGTGTTTAAGGTTGTGTGGGACGGGAGGGATGCGAGCCGAGTTGAAGTGGTTTTTTTTAAAATTAATGCAGGGCGAGGCAAGTATATGTGATTTATGTAGTTTCAAACTTAAATTTAACTTTTTACATGTTATAAGAGTGATAGAACATTATTTATTAAGATAATTTCTTTAAAGCTACTAAAATATTCAAGATAGTAAATCAAAATGGTTCAACAAAAAATAATACAATTTCTTACATGTTTTTCAATTGACCTCTGAAAAATAAATTTTCAGGTCCTTATCTATTAAATTAATGCAACTTAATGAAAAAGTGGATTTATTTTTATAAAATTTAATTTTAGTGTCAAACTTGACTAGAAAAAATAAAATATTAAAAAAGTTATGCAAGGTGGAGTGGAGCGGATTGAAAATGAAAAAAATTGTTATACGTGGATTGGACGAATTACATATATATATATATATATAAAATGTGACACTAGAATTTACTTTGTTCAGAGACCGACTTAACGTGAACGAGGGTTTCTTCAATGCCAAAAAGAAGTTCTTATATGATAGATTGATAGTAATACCTAAATATTAATCGTTAATCTCATAATATATATTTTTGAAATTCCGTGTAAATTGTAATAAATAGTCACTTCAAATTAAGCAAATTTTTAGAAGTTTGGTATATGGTATTTTTTTTTGGTATATGGTGATGGACTCTATATATCATATCATCCCCTATGATTACCAAAGATTTTATCCCTAATTAAGCAAAATGGTATGATCTCATTTAATATCTTGGTCCATATATTATAATCACCATTTATTACCAAGATTTTCTTACCAAATTTTGGTTGGCAATTTTTTTTCAAATTCATGGACTCCAATTTACGAAGTGTAATCCTCTGATTGGCAGCAATATAATTCCAGAGAATTGATAAGATTCTCAATATGTGGTGAACATTTATTTTTGTTTACCTAAAGCATCTTAGACAAGAGGAAAACTAAATGAATGATGTATATTGTTTGGGACCATTAATTCATCATCTACAAATTGAAAAAAAAAATTAGAGTCCGACTCATTGTATTTTTTTGTTTTTGGCGTAATATATAGTTACAATCCGTTAAACTAAGCTATCTTCCTATTAAATATCTCAATTCATAATTTAGATATTTAATTAGATGAGGATAGGAAGATGCGAGACTGGCGACTGGTCAAATCATTCTTTACTCACTAAAAGTATTTCACTCTAGTTCTTTTAGCTATTGTTATATTTTTTAACTCGTGGAAGGTGAAAAGGCAGAAGCGTCGTCTAGTTAGTTACATACTACTTGACTTTTGAAGTTTCGATTCAATTTTTTTTTTAAATTGTTTGTATTTTCTCTAGTTATACCCATCAACCTTAAGTAGAAATTGCTTACAGTTTTTACTGATTATTAAAATGACTGTTTATAATTAAGAAAATGACATATTTTATTTTGTTAACTTAATTAACTTATAGATGAATGATCACATTAATTCAAAATTTAAACCATAGGTATATAAGTGAACTATTTTATTAGATGTTGAGGTGTTCAATTGAAACATAA